GTGTGCATCATTACTTTTACTTTTCGCCGTATTAAATTTCAGCCCCTTGTACTTCATTACATACATAACACTAAATGATTAACATTGCGTAATCATGCCCTTAAGATTTGTTCATACTCTCTAAAGAGGTTCTACACAAAAAATAAAATTTAAGCAATAGTTCTGGAAACGTTACCAAAATATATAACGCGTAAGACAAGAACACTTTCCTACATAATGAGGCTAATAATTTTCTGCACACCAGACGTCGCTAGTTGACACTGAGGTAAAGTTTTCTCTTACAGAATGACACATAATTGAGAAGTTAGTTTTTAATAAAAGTTTATCAGTTTGAAAAGTATTATATTAATACTCAAAACAATGCGTCAGCAGTTTGCTCATTAATGTTTTGCACATTTTTTTTTATATTTTTCTACTTTTATGAATATCTGTGGTTTGGTTTATTTATTTTTATTCTTATTGTTACAAGCTTGGGGTTCGAGATAATCAAAAACTGCCCATTGAGTTACCAAAATTGACACTTTAATTACACAAAACTAATTACAATCTAAAACCACACTAATAATAAAACACAATTGTAGTACTGATCACTTAAGTTCGCAGTTGTTTCGCTTCGAAGTATTCTCTTGTATCGCCAATTCAATACTGACTCGGTCGTGGTCTATACCGGCCTTATATAGGGCCTCAGATAGTTTGCAGAACATTCTACTGTAAAGACATCTAGAATGTTCGAGTACGTCCTGTAATTTCAAGAAAGATTTTGACTCTCCTATTTCTGCTACTCGACACTAGAGGGCGCTGATGGTACCTAGTGTTGCCATGTACAAGACATTAATAGTGGCGCGCAACACTGCCCCCTCCTAATACATGCTCGTCCCGAGCATTGTTGGCCCCATAATAACGCGCCAGTCGATCCAGATGGACAATGTTAGGAGTACCTCTTCTAACATCAGTCACCACACGCCAGTTTCCCTGCTGCTGCTGGGCGGTGCTGTTAGCCACACTACCCTCTACATATCGATCACCTTCCCTTTCTACAGTTCGTTTAGGGCAGCTGAATCGAAGATGGCCCCTTTTCCCACAGCCGTAGCACTTAGGGCTGTGTCTTTTATTGCGGTCGCGAACTGTAGCCGCTGCAACCTCCCTGACGCGATAGGAACGATGATCATACCGCACGGCTTCCACCTCCAGTGCATGGGCCAACGCGTCCTTAAGCATCTCGTGGTGCCCGAGCCTCATAGAAGCTCTGACTTCAAGGTCGCGGACTCCGTCGATGAATGTCTGCACCAGGTTCCCTAAAATGACCGCAGGTACAGACTGGTATGCTTTTCGAACCAGCTTCTCCACCTCAATGGCCCACTGCTGCAGGTTTTCGTTGATGCGTTGCACGCGATCTTCGAGCTGCGCACAAAAGAAGTGTTCCAGGTGAGTGTCGCCATATCTCGTCTCCAATGCCTCAAGGAGCTGTTCGTAAGTCACTTCCTTACCGAGAGCTTCCAGAACAGTTAAGGCCTGGTCGCGTAGGCCTAGGGTGAGAGCAGTCATGGCCTGTTTTTTTCCAGCCGTTCGCCTTCATAACAGCCTCGAACTGGATTATGTAGGCCGACCAGGAAAAAGTCCCGTCGAACGGCGGCACTTTGAATAATCCACCTTGCGAAGGTGTTGTAGCTACTACGGGAGCTGTAATTCCATCTTCATGTTTGAGGTCGTCCAGCGTTTTCTTCACGTCAGCCATCACGTTGTCAACCCGATTGTTCATTTGGTCGATTCGGGTTTCAGCTTTCGACAGGCCGTTGTCATGTTGAGAAACCCCATCCTTCACCTCTTTTATCTCTTTCCCGAAGGTAGCGTGAAGGTCCTTCCTGACGAACATCTGCTCTTCCATACCACGCTGCAGCTGCTCTTCCAACCAACGGGTCTGTTCCTCCTGTCGGCGGGCCTGTTCCTCCTGACGGCGAGCCTGATCCTGCAACATCATCATCAGAGCACCTAAGTCAGGTGCTGCAGATGCAGGAGCTGCTGATGGGCCTATACTATAAACGAAGGCACGAAGGCAGGCAGAAATTTCGATTTAAACGAATCCCGTGGCCGTCTGAAAACTTTGGTAGACAATAACGAATTAAAGCTGATTTAGAAGCTCAATCTACGGCTGAATTAGCAGCAAATTGGCAAGGTAAAAAATCTTGACAGATGGGTGACCCACCAATTCAATGATCGCCAGCGCAGAGTTTTTTTTAAAGAGAGGGGGCAAACGAGCATGCGGCTCACCTGATGGTAAGTGACTACCGCCTCCCATGAACAACTGCAACACGCCAAAATATGCAAAGAGATGCAACATCTCTACGCAGTGCCAGTGAGTCAAGCCGATCGGAAAGAACGCGGTTGTCGACGATTCGAACCGCTCTGCACTGGATACGGTCAAGTAGAAGGAGCTGGCACTGGTGAGCCCCTGCCCAGAGATGGGAACAGTATTCCATGTCAGGCCGAATCTGTGCCTTGTAATGTTGCAAGCGGTGTGCCCGCACGAAATACTGTCCCGCTCTGCTGAGCACGCCAAGCTTTTTAGAGGCTAATTTGGCCTTCTCTTCCAGGTGACCACAAAACTGCACGTCACTCGATATGTCGACACCGAGGATACCGATACTGGCGGAGGCAACAAGGGGTGTGCCTTGAAACTGAGGAGATACGACAAAGGGGTTCTTTTTAGTGGTAAACGCGCAAGCTTGTGTCTTCTGGGGGTTGAATTGGACTAGATTTAGTCGCCCCTATTCTGAGAATTTGTTCAACAAAGTCTTGAAATCAGACACAAGTTTGTTCCGGTACTCGGCGACGTTTTCCCGAGACATATTGGCACGGCCGGTGAATAAAGCATCACCAGTGCTGTCGTCTGCATAGCAATAAATGTTACTGGTTTGCAACATATCATTGATATGCAGAAGAAACAGCGTTGGTGATAGCATGCAGCCTTGTGGAATACAAGCGTTAATGGGCTTGTAATCGGAGCATGCACCGTCTACTACGACCTTGATGCTCCAATCTGCAAGAAAACTGGTGACCCAATTGCACGATTTCTCGGGAAGCCCATAGAAAGGAAGCTTCGAAAGAAGCGCTTTGTGCCAAATCCGATTGAAAGCCTTCGCTGTGACCAAACTAACGTTCAACGCCTTCCCCTTGGACTCCACTGCCTCCGCCCATCTATGAGTTATGTAACCTAGAAGATCACCAGCTGTGCGACCTCAACTGGCGGTCACTAATCAGCTGGTGGTCCTCAAAGCACCGCATGAGCTGGCAGTTACATTACTTCGGACAACAAGGAGGTGATAGCGATAGGCCTGTAGTTGGACGGATCTGAGCGGTTGCCTTTTTTAGGGATCGGGTGCACCAAAGCTGCCTTCCATGAATTCGGGACTACGCCTAGGGAGTAGAAGTACCGAAAAAGACGCGTTAAAACCAGTGTAAATATACGGGCGGCAATAGGCGGGACTCCATCAGGCCCACTTGACTTGTTGACGTCCAGGGAGCTGAGTGCTTTACGCACCAAGCGCTGTGTAAACAGCACTTCCCGCATGGAGCACTCATACCGCGGGATGGTCGGCGGTGTGTTCCCCCCGTCATCTAGTCGAGTCTAGTCGAGTTGGAAGCAAAAAGAGAGCCTAGCAGATCGGCTTTCTCCTTTACGTCATGGGCCAGTGAGTCGTCCACCCTGTGCAGAGATGGCAGAGATGGCAGACAGAAGTTCCGTTGGATAGTCTTGGCAAAAAACTGGAATGCACGTGTTCCCGAAGGGAGGCAAACTAGTTTCTTGCCAATTCTGCCGATGTGCTCTGACTTTGCCTTGGCAATGACACTTTTGAAGGACCTCCAGGCGGAATTATATTTCTTTTTAAAAGCGCTGGTGTTTACATCTCGGGATGGTAGCACTCCTGCTTATAGTGGGATGAAATTTTATGGGAGTGACCTAATCATGGCTGAGTTCTGCCTCCGATAGGCACCACAGATGATGGAATAAATAATTCCATTCCCTGAAGTACCACATCAGCAACAGAATCAGCATCAACGTTGGTATCATCCGGCGAGAAGCAAACCCGCCCCCAAGGGTAGGATGCAATAAAAGACCACATCCTGTTCCAATCGACCAACCTATATTGCCAAACACGGCGGCAAGCTGCAGATCGCATGCGATGGGAGAGTGAGGGGCGCTTTACTTCGGATCAGACAATGGTCCGAAGAGCCAATCTGAGGAAGGAGGCCAATCAAGGATCCCTGATATCCGTCCGGATGAGAGGTAGCAGAAGGTCCAATAGGGAAGGTACATGACCTTCCACATCTGGGATCTGCGTAGGCGAAGTTACCAGTTGTGGCAGACCATATGCCAAGGCAAAGTCATAAACAGATCTACCTGCATGATCGGCTAAACGCGAACGAAGCCATCCAGCGTGGTGGGCGTTAAAATCACCGAGCATCACGATCTCGATCATAATACCAGCGTAAAATAGCAGCTTAACGCTACTGTGTTTCGTATGGTGAGTGTAGAGAACCAGGGACCCTTTTTATTGGAAAAGAGAGAGGCATTCCATCTTGATCCTCACGGGTGACAACGCATCTGCATCTTAAGTCTTTATTGAGGATAGATGTAGACATCTGTGCGTCACAGTAGCCATTATCATCGGGTGGATTGTGCGCTCGTTTGTCACGCTATCCTATAAAAAAATATAAGGTCAGTATTTCGCCTTTCCATGACATTAATTTTTGAAATTAATTTATCATGACTTTGGTGTCATGTGTTTATTAATGCTATAATAATGTAAAAATTTATAAATTTTTACTATATATATTCGTACTTATGTTGTTAAAAATAGTTCATTTATGAATGAAGGATTAATTTTTATAAGTGATTTTTTTAAAGTTTTTAACATAACTTTAAATAATCCTTTCGATCTCGTAATTTGATATACAAGACGTTAGAATAATTATTATAATAGAAGTTTTTATTCTATCAGGGATAGCATCTAATCCTGAAGCTTTAGCAGAATATCGAAGAGGATTCATACATATGGCGAAAAACTGGTTTATTGTAATTTGCTGTAATGACGAGTCTCCATCAGTGGATAAAATACTAGGAGTATGTTCAGTTTACTTAGAAAAAGAAAAAATGTCATTTCAAGGAAATGAGGTACCGCAATTAAATATAGGTGAAGGTTTTCGAGGAAATACAATATGTATATTTGATGAGATTACAAATATTTTATTTATCAGTTTCAGACAAAGGAAATGCAGACATTGTTTAAAATAATAGACGAAATGAACAAATTTGATAAAGCAGTAAAGAATGAATTCGAATACTTTCATGATGGGAGAGGGATTTCCGTGCATCCTGAGTATAGAGGATTGGGTATCGCTAGAGAGTTCTTTAAAGTGAGGTATGAAATACCATACAAAGAGGATCTAAACCTCAAATTGAAGCTTTTGTTTTAATTTCAATGGTTATTATATTAATTAAAATCAAATAAAAAAGAACAAGTACCGTCATTCTGCGTATATATCTTTGTAAATTTTTATATTTCTCGTAATGTGTACACGGATAATATTATTCCGTGGGTGTTGTAAGTGGCGACAGAGGGAAACAAATCAGGAGATGGGCAGCAGCGTCTTCTAAAAATAAAAAAACTGCGGTTACCAACCCGCTTGCAAAGCGTTGTAAACAACTCCTATGAGTCAATCCATAGGGGAGGCCTATGCTCATCAGTGGGCTTTAATAGGCTGCAACGGTACATAGATAAACGAATTTGAATATCATAGTTATTGACTTTAACCTATAAAACATTTTGTACGATAAAACGATTGGTTGAATGAAAACTGAATATTTCTTAAAAATTTTGTTTTAATTCTTACAGACGTTTTCTTATAAATGAACAGAATATTCCAATGACTTGTGGGTGGATGACGTCTTACGGGTCCCAAAAGGCAGCCCAAAACGATAATTGGGAGACAAGGGCTGAAGTCAATGTTGAGGAAATTGAACAAAACTGTGGAGTAATATTTAAAGATAACCCTACCACTTTCAAATTCATGATAGCTACAGCTAATAATGGGTTTAAGTAATTGATTTGCAATAAGGTAAGGCTATTCAGCGCAGGGACAAATAGTCCGACTAGGTGAGTCCAACTTCGACCGAGAGGTCAATCGACGGATTCAACTCGGCTGGGCAGTGTTTGGGAAATCACGGCACATCTTCTCGTCAGGCATACCTCAAAACTTGAAAACGAAATTGTACAACCAGTGCGTGTTGCCAGTGATGACCTATGGATCCGAGACGTGGTCTTTCACTGCTGGCCGTATGAGGAAGCTCAAAATCGCTCAGCGAGCTATGCAGAGGGCAATACTCGGCGTTTCCATCGGCGAAGGCCAATGTTCAGCAGTGGACTTGAAAAGGGCTGTAAAGATGATGATGATGATGATGCAGCGCAGTGTAGTCTGTGGTGCCGTAAGCAATACACTACCCCGTATAATCCCGAGAGTGTTCTATGAGGCGACAGAGAGAAACTATCTAATATATATATAAGTAACATAGACAATATTTGAGCCAGACTTAAAAACAAAAACATAAGTACAATATTCGAAATCTTCATGACTTTCTCTGGGCCTAAATTCGGTATTGTTCTCTTTTTTACCGACTTCAAAAAGGAAGAGGTACTCACATTGGACTGTATGTTTTTTATATGTGTTACCTCATATCTTTTTTCTAGGTGAAGCGATTTCGATGATTATTTTTTTATTTGAAAGCCGGTGCTTCTCATGTTGTTCCATATTATCCAATTTGATCAACATCTGACCAATAGTTTATGAGTTATTGTTAATATTTTATATTGAAGTCGGTTGTACAAATTTTTTAATTTTAAATTATTAAAATACGTAAATGTCTAACTTAAACAGAGTCATTACTTCGGTATCGAATCATAATCTTAAGTTTTAACAAATTACAATTTTATATATGTATTTGATAAAATTTACAACCGTTCTTTGAATTGTGTTTGATTTATTTATTGGATATTTTACGTTTTTTTTTTGCGGGTAGGTGCTTAAAAAGGTAACACACGTTTCTGTTATTGAATTCTTTTTATTTAGTGTAAAAAGTATCTCTCTAGCATAATTTCAAGTTTAATATTAATATTATTGCCTATTTAGTTTTATATTGTGTGGACAATAATTTAATATCAAAGTAATAACATAGTGAACATAAGTGTACGCGACTGTGTTAATACCATATTATCTATGAGCAATTTTCAAGTTACGGTGTTCTACTTACATAAAATGATTAAACTTATCGATTTCTTCGAAACTCAAAAAACAATAGAAGCTACACTTCTAAAAAGAATGGTTGACTTTGAGCAGCAACTTGACACTGCCTCGACCAAATCAGAAAATCTTGTTCAGATTAATAAATAATTTAATTCTTTTTGCGACTATCTTCAGGAGATCTTCAAGCTAATGAGACAGCAAATTCACGAGGTCAACCAGTTAGCCGATTCGTTGGAAATTGTACACTGAAAGAAATACCTTATCCTTAGCGGACTATCTGAAAAGGCTGATGAGAATACTGCTGGTATTGTTACCACAATTATAAAACACAACCTCGGTCTCAACGATATTACAGCCTCTTCCTTCAAAATTGTACACAGACTTGGAGCGGCATCTACGGGCCATAGTCGCCTATACTTTTCAGAATTACCGATTCATTCCTCCACTATACTGTTAAGAAGAAAAAGGCTTCACTTACGGGCACACCTTATGTACTATCTGAATTCCTAACTAAACAACGCCAAGCTGTATTTATAGAAGCACGCACACTTTTCGGTATGCGTAACGTTTGAACGCTGGATGGGAACATCACGATTAAACTGCATAAAGTAATGACTTCAAAAGACCTTAAAAAGTTTGTTCTTGGTAAGAAATCGGATCCGGTCAGCTAGTTGCTATCAGGTGACAATGCAGCTCGGTCATAAGGAAAGTCTGAACTTGCACGTACCAGACGTGCTTGTAAAATCAAGTAATGTGATTTTTTTGTGTAATCACTGTAGTGAAATCTCATCTCTATCATAATTGTATCACTGATAAATTAATCGCAAAATAAGTTGTTAATATAAATGAAGATAGAATTTACTCAGGCCCTATTGTGTTATTCTACCATGGGCTTAATTTTATATACCTAGTGTTTGAGTTATATTATCTCATTTGCTTAAAATTTCATACCTTTTTCTTTAAACACATTTTATCCTGTATTTTTATCATAGTCTAACATAAGAAGATAATTTTTGTCGTAATGTTTAATAAATAATAAGCACGTGTTTAATTTTTATTACGATCATTAATTTTGATTTCAGTGTCTTGTTTTATCCCTTGCACCAAATTTGGTATTAATTATTTCTATTCATAACCAAGAAGTTTTAGTTATATTGATATAAATATGTATCTATTTATTATAATGTAACATATTATCTACAGTAAACTATTAAAAGGAAACTTGCACGTGGAGGAGTTGATGTTGTACATGCAGATGTCAACGGATCAGGAATAGTGAGAGTGACACTAATGGCATCGCAAGATGATATTCTGTCATCTGGTGGAGAGGCTAACAACACTACACTATACCACATATTCAACAGTTTACGGGTGGTACGGGGCATTAGATCTTAGTCCTCAACGCAACTCAACTAGTTGGTAACGCATTTGCAATCTGTAGCGGTTTGTTTGACTTGGAGATCGTAAATGTCCATAGGCCAAAGTTTACTTACCATTAGGTTGAGTGTGTGCTAGTTTGCCTTCTCCATAATGCATAAAAGCTTAAAGGTCAGAGTATAAAGGATTATTATTCCGTAACAATAATCATTTATACTCTGATCCTTGAGAAACCTGCAATAAATAATAAAAAAAAACCAATATGGTCGAAGTTGATACTTAGTAATTTTAGTAGAATGTGTTAATTCTTGTACGTACATAAGTATTGTTTTATATTCAATTTGATGCAATTTTAATATTAAACTATATTATAATATAGCTCACAATATATATTAAATAAATCGAAAACATAATCTCAAAAATAATAACATGCAAAAGGGCTGTATAGACCATATTTGCCATTTGCCATTTTATCGATAACTATTTACAAACCGGTATATCAAAACTATTGCTCGGTGACAGCAACAACTCTGATACAAACTCAGATCAGTCGCTCGACCAAACCGCATCTTGTATGAGGACGAGTGGCCAGTTTTGGTAAACAAATCCGAAAGAACATGAACGTTACTGTGGCAATTATGGAATGTTATTATTGTAATTTTAAAGATTAAAAATGAATAAATAATACTAATATTATAAAGAATTACTTACATATAAAAAGTAACGTCATCTTTTTGTGAATTTAACGTGACAGATCTCTTTTTGCAGCAAAAATACCTGAACAATTGGATATTTTTGTAGGACGTCGTTTCAGTCGCGCAACTAGTCTAGTAGAGCCATCGATATACAGGGTATTTTTGGAACGCTCCCGAAAACTAAGACAGGCGACAGCACCAAGTATACCTTTGATCATGGGTCACAAATAAATTTGATCCTGATGAAAAAAAAATCATATTTTTACAACGTTTTATTAGCTTTATTCACGCGCCATCATGTTAGTACAGCTAAATGAATCGATAATTTCATAAAAAAAATCATGAAAATACTGAAACATAAAACCAGCAGTGGAAACTGAATTGATATCACCTGACTAATGGAGGTTAATGTACGCGCGAACGGTGAAAAAAGAACGCTGGCCTTGAACTTGGGCATTGAGCGATTTATCACATATAGGTACGAGGGGGGTGCGACGGGGGATCAATCCGCCAGTATTACTGTGCCTGCATGCTATTGGTTCACGCGCTTTGTTCGCTCCAAAAATACAGTCGCATACACAGCTTACTTTGCGACTCGCGACGATGTTTTAAAAAGGAAGGAAACAAAAATTATTTATATCTATTGTTTTATGACTAAACTAGTGAACGAAAAGGTAAATATGATATGAGAAGGTGAATGGGGAAAATTGTGCAGTAAAGTGTTGAGGGAGAATACCGAAAAAATTACCATGTGATCGACCTGATGACGGAAGCTCAAGCGAAGATGAAAGTGATGATGAAGTAGCATCCAGTAATACCAACACACCATCAACATCTGACTTTCATGTGACCCAAGACGTCATAATGGACGGCGTGTCACCCTTAAGTTTTTTTTGTTACAAACTACTTTATATTTTACGATAGAAATAACAAATAATGCTCAAGTAAACATTATCCATTTTTAATTCCCACCTCTTCCAAAGTTCTAAGTAAATAGTAAAACACCTATTATGATTCCACAATTAAACAATTAATTACTATAATATTATAAAACAATAGCCCAATACCATGTAGTACTTTAGAACGCGACTGTACCCACACTTCCTCCGCTGTCGACCTGTATCTAGCTCGGTACGAAACAATGGTATGCGGTCGGAAGAAAAAAGGGCGCATCTAACAATTTTTGAATAAATGAGTTAAATATACCATGACTCATGATAAGAAGGCGCATCTACTAAATTTTTTTAATATTCACAAATATCAATATTTTAGAAATTATCGTAAGGATTTTAGACGTAACTGTTGATCACAGATGACATCTTTTTATTAGAAAAGACTTCAACATAAAAGAAAAGACTTATTTAACCAGTGGCTACGTCATCTTTAACAATATTTGCATCGATTACTTAAATTTCAATTATTCTTGTCTTTTTATTCTATATCTTATTATTAAGAGCTTATATCTTATTACTAAGAGCTGGTGTTTCACATGTGGTCCCATATAAATTTGATCGAGGTCAGACCAATAGTTTTTGAGTCATCCTTAATTATTTATATTAAAGTCGGTTGTACAAAATTTTTAATTATTATCGTAGTAAGTCTTGTATGATATCCCCTTTAAAATCATTACTCAAGAGTTGCGGGTTGTTATTTTTTGTGTCTGACTACCAATGCTTTTCTAATATTTACTAAGAAAAAAGTAGTAAATTACTATTAGCGTCCTTTCAACTT